TCCCTACCCTTCTCTGGACACACTCCAAAGAGATGTAACTTCCAAGTAGGAAACAAAAAGCTGCCCAATTGCTTTAAAATTATTTGGGAATATAGTTTAGTCTCTATGGATGTGATGAATGGAAAAATCAGGAACTATTTCTATATATGTTGAACGTGCAGAAAGTCAAACATCCCAACTGGTTTTTTTAATAAAAAAAGATTCCTAAGGATCCCATAGGAAGTAGAAGCCCAAATATACTAATGCCCTACTAGGGCGAGCAAATTGTAACTCATCAAGCTCTTGGGTATGTCTGGGGTAGGTAGAGGAGCTGTGGTGACCTGGTGGCCACCACGTTGAAACCAGTCTCGGGAAGGCAGCTGAACGCAGATTTAAAATCAGCTGCTCAGCCCTTAGTTCACAAACCCTTCGATCAGTTCCCAGCCTGTTACAGCATCTTACATGAATCTTACACAGACCTCTGGGAATGACAAATTATTAAAGGGGAAAAAAAAAAAAAATCACCAAATGTTTCGAATGACATCAGTGACATTAACTTGGGGAAAATGGACTGGAGGAAGCACAGCCCATTAGCACAGGATTTTTTTTTTTTTTTTTTTTTTTTTTGACAAACACATTATTGGGAGATAAAACGACTTCCAGGCGTTGTTTGTCAGATGTCAGGAGAAAGGATATGTATTTCATAGGCAAATCAAAAATAATGGAGGCAGAAAGCTAAGAGGCTACAGACAAAAAATAAATCGATACTGATTGCACAGCGAGTCTTTTTTACCGTGTTATAGTGAAAAAAAAGAAATGAAAACTTGTCTTAGGGCTTGTTGGGGTTGTTTTCTACAAAAAAGTGATTCCAGCAGCAGTCACAGTTACCATCCCTGACACCATCTCCCTCCCAGTGACACGTGCCCAGGAGACCCCCCATGGGGTGCCACAGGGTAGAGGACAGTGACAATGGGGTCCCACAAATTGCCCCCCCGCCCCTAGTCTTCCCTTAAAACCCTCGCTGTTTATGCCCCCGAGCAGAAAACTGATTCTATTAGAGGAACGTTTAATTAAAGTAATTTTATAGCAATTGAGGATTTTTGCCCCAGTTACCCCAGCCACGGGGGATTTAACTGGGAACTCTGTCCTTCAGAGAGCATTCAGCATGTCACACTTCCCATCTAGATTCACACCTATTTACATCTTCCCATATATATAAATATATATCCACATATCCCCACATCTTTTATAGCTACTATTTTCATCTTGAATTAGTCTGTATTAGCAATAATTTGAAATGTCACTTTAGAAATAAAATGTGTATTAATCCTTTAAATGCCACCTGAAAATTTGACATATGCAATAATTAGAAACACCAGAGAACCAGATAAAAGAAAAAGTAACTTTTCTGCAAGCTCTGTGTAAAATAGTCTTTTTTTTTTTTTTGCTTATTTCTACAGATAAAACTGATGGTAACAGTCACTAGGAATTTAAGAAGCATTAGAACAGAAGGATTAAATGATGAAATAACACATTAGGAATGACCCATTAAATAAAACCACATTATAAATATTTCTTGTATAATCTTGAGGTGTAAATTTGTAACTTACTGGATTCATTGCTGAGCTCTAATCCGCACTAGGAAAATGAACCCCTGCCTTTACTTCAAAAGGTCTAAGAATCAAAGCAATGGCAATAAACCTAAAACATTCCTCAGAATATATGTTTCTTCATATTGTAGTCATTATATTTAAAATGGTATGGCTGGTTAATTTAACAGATCCTTTTAAAATATTAAGTAATTTTAAGTAATGCACTTTGAAACAGTTGCAGGAAAAAAGTTGCTATTTTTGCTGCCCTTTTGTTGATGGATTAAAAGAAGAAAACCACAAACAGATAGCAGACTAAACACACCAGCTCAAGAGGAAAATATTTGCCCTTTCATCCCATTTTATTCAGATAAATAAATAATCAGGTGATAATGTATCATTTTTACAGGACTGTGCACATAAAACAGCAAGTGCCTTAAACCAGGGTAGGGTTTTTCACCCCAGCTGAGGATTTCCACAGGCTCAGTGCTTTTTAATTCCTCCCTAGTTTTACTTAAACTGTGCAAACTGACACATCCCAAACAAAAGAAAAGTTCTCACCCAGACCCTTTGCAGCAGAACAGTCCAAAAACTCCCTGTCCTCGAGAGGGGTTGTCTTCTACAGAGCATTGCACCGAAATATTTCTGTTAAACCTGGTGGGGTGCAGGGGGAAATCCAGCAGGCTGGGTGGGATTCACTTCATTTTTGCCACCTCTGGACTCTACAAAACTTGGAGTTCTGGGGTTTAAGGTTTTGGGTTTTTCCTCCTCCCTTAAATCTTGCCTCTGTGCAGCAGACAATTAGTGACAGCTTGCGAGGGCTGTCCCCTGAGCCCACGCACCCCGGAGGCGGCAGGTGTTGGCAGAGCACCCCAAATCCCAACCCTTTTCACCCAGGGCAGGTGATGGAGCTGGCTGGAGAACCCTGCTGGTGCCCTCAGCACCCACCTCGGGGCTGGCGACCTCAGAGGCGAGACCTCCAGCGTCAGCTTCCAGAAAAACGGAGCCAATCAGCCAAGGGACAAACCGCTCCTGCCAGCCTGGGGTTAACAGAGCATGTCCCCCGCGCCCCACGCCCCTTCTCCTCTGCCCGGCTCCAGTCGTGGGGGCTCCTCGGAGAGGGGGGAACCCCCCAGAGAGGAGGGATGCCTCACCTCAGCTTTGCCCTCCTCGCCCCTGGTTTACCCGAGCCTGGGCGATGCAGCCGTTAGAGGGAGGCACCGCCACGCACAATGCCGGCCGCATCCCGCCTTTGTCTGAGGAGAAGGGAAAATTGGGAATGCTGAGCCCGGAGATGCTGGGAGCCGAGCATCCTTGCTGGGGTGTCCACCCGGCCCAAACCTGGGGGTTGTTTCCAACACCCCT